AAACACTGCCCCTGTGCCTATCAGTGCTAAGAGATATTTGGATAATGCTCTTCTAATAAACTTTAACTCTTGGTTAGCCCTGAAAAGTTCAGGCAGTTGGACTGGATGTTCTTTCAAGGTCCCTTCCAACCATCCCATTCCATTCCATTCCATTCCATTCCATTCCATTCCATCCCATTCCATTCCATTCCGTTTCTTATTTTTTATTTTTCATATTTCCTTTAATTCTCATTAATTCAAGGATTTTTGTAGCCTGCCTATAGAAGGGCTGTAGAACATGACCATACTGGATGTGCAGTAATGTGCACTTATATATACATCATCAGCTGGAGGGTAATAGTCATACTTTTCTTACCTACTCTGCTAACCATTAGAGGCACTGGGCTTAGGTTAGTGCCAACACCACTTTTCATCATCACACGTTCTGCATCAGAAAGAACAAAAGTCCTCTGATGGAAGAGGAGCAGTTCTCCAGCCACCATTCAGGGGCTATGCTAGAACATGGGAGAAGGATCCATTTAGTGCTGCTGGCTGGCACGCAGCTCAGGAGTAAATCTGCAGCTTAGGAGTCGAGTGCCACCTACCAAGCCATCTGCTAAGAAAATTATGTTATCTGTAGCTTGATCCACTGCTGCTAAAAATCACTGTAACACTCAGCTGTGAAGAGTTTTGCTGCTAATATATCCATTTGGACTCTTTTTATTTATCCACTCGGAATTCATTATTTCTCGGGTTGATTTCATTCTAATGAATCATTCCGTAGCGCTGGCTTTATTTCATTTCTGAGGTACGAATTAATGTGTCAAAGCCATCTTTGACATTAAAAGCGCTGTCATTTTTGCCGTGACTTCTCTTTTGATTCATGTATTCAATTTTTCTGCCCGTCCATGGAGTGAAAGAAAAAATGCAAGCCATACACTATAAAAAAAATGGTGCACGTGCAAATAAAGCATACATCAGTGGAGAGGGGACAGTCCATATTTTTGGGTTGACGTGCTGGTTTTTGTGTGCTGTTTCATACCTCAGCAATCAGCTGTGGAGGGATCCTGCTGGTGGGCTATGGGGTTGTTCAGCTCCTGCCCTGTCCCCAGGGTGGATATTTCCCTTTCATTTCTGTCTTCCTCTTCAGTCCAAAAAGAGCTTGTAAAATCTCAGAGGCTGCACCTGAAACCAGCCAGCTTTGGTTTGGGTTTTACACTAGAAATGTAAGGAAGGATTGGTGACGTGGGAAGGGGATGTGTGAACAGAGCCTGGACTGACTGCTCATGACACGTGGAGATGGAACATTGTTCCTTTTCTTTTACAGATTATGGTATAAATAAATAAATAAATAAAACAAATCCACACAGTAGTGAATATTTAGGCCTTGTTATCAGCGTTGGGGGACAAAGAAATCCCTTCTCTCACTGACTCTTTCTCCCTCCTGATGGGTCTTCATCATACAAGAAGGAGCTCGAGACCCTGATGTGTGGGTTGGTTTTTCTATTTTCTGCTTCTCATCTTTCCCCTGTGTTTCGTACTCACTGCTGTGCTTTTCCCATGGAATGCCCAACCATGACACTACCAATTCAGCCACGTGCTTCGCTGATCTTCTAAGAGAGTTCAGAGCTGCTGCTCCATTTCCAGAATCTCTTGATTTTTCCGAGAAGGTTAAATTGAGGCTAAAGTTACCTTGGTTTATTAGTATAACCAGTTATTTAGAAACTTGACAGCTCTTTCAGACATTATTTCTGCTAACCCACCTCAGCTGTTTTGATGTTTGATACATCCCATGCATGCAGACTCAAGAAGTCATCCTGAGAGTGACGTGAGTACAGTTTGCATCCACAGACTGTAATATTATTTTGTAAATCAAGCTGCCTTTCCCCAGCTTTTGTGTGTGTGCTGTTTGATAGATTAAAGCACGCTTATCTCTGAACGCAAGCTTTGGATTTCGTTCAGCTCTGGCTCAGTCTTCTAGTAGCTAATTACTGTTTGGATTAAGATCATTTGGATCAAGGTGCTACTCTATGTGTATTTTCAAATCTTCATGCCAACCCAGTGGGCGTTTCTCCAAAAAGAGTCTCAGAGGAGCAACGGATGTTTTGTAGGGTGGTAGCAGAGACACACGAGATTTCCTTTCCTGGGTATTGCTTTGATTTCAGCAGTGGTTGAAAAGCATTAAACAAAATCAAGCAGCTGTTACATGTGGTGGCATAGGGAAAATTAAGCCAATTTTCTATGTATTTCTGGGTCTCACACACCTGCACCGCTGTCCCATTGCTGGCAGCTTTGGGCAAGCTCTGATCTGGACGTGAGCTGATCCTTCAGCGCTGTATGAGGGCACATCAGCTGGAGAGCAGCAAAAAGCAAATCCAACCCATCCTTTGCAGAAATGGCTCCCAGAGCTGTGCCAATTGGCTGCCTGATCCCACCGCTACATTTACCTGAACAGCAATAAGGGTTTAATGGATCTCACTTTTGTGCCTCACCGGGGTATGACTGTTAAGTCATGAAAGTTTTAAAAGCTCACAAATTAGCTGAAGTGGCAAACGAGCACAGCAGGGTGCCCTGTTTGAAAGGGGAGGGTTTGTAACCTGCAGAGCGGTTTAAGGGGCTTTGCGGCTCTGTGATGGCCTCAGCTGAGCCAGACCTGAATTTCATCCACAAAATGATCACATGAAATTAGGGATGAGATATGAGAAAGACTGGCTGCCGGAATGAATATTGAATTAAATGAATGGAGAATGTGAGAATGTTCTCAGTGTCTTCTTATGAAGGTGATGTTCCCCTCGTCCCAGGGTTTCTGCTCCAGAGCAGCAGTGTGCTGCATTTTCAGAAGATAAGTACATGCAGTAAATCTCACCTGTGCTGTGCTTTGAGGAGAAAAGGAGAAAAAGCCCCCTCAAAATTATGAAAGGAAAGCTCAGAATGACTTTCATTAGGCATTGCTATTACTGAAAAACAAAGAATTCACTTTTTGTCTTTTTCATCCTCCTCTGGGGATGAACGACGGTTAAAGAACAGGATCATAAGAAGGAGGGATGATACCTGCTGAGAAGGAATTAAAAATGAGAGAAAGAGAGAGGGGAATGGAAGGCAAGCATCTTAGTTAGCTAGTCAGGGTTAGTTTAGCACTGTATCCACACTAACTGACATTATGAAAAATTATAGCTGGCATATAAACAACTTCAGTAATGCTGAAACCCAGGAAATGCATCCTGACAACTTAGTGAACTTATTTGTTCTTCTCGGGGGTTTCAACCCCCCCACCCCGTGATGTTTATCTTCATTTTCTGATACATTTGTTTGAGGTGAGGTTATGACACAAAGGTAGCAACTTGCAAATCATTGTGTTCATCTGCTTTCGTTGGCTCTCGTGGCTCAGGTAAGACTGAAAAATCCCTTCTGTAGAAAGAAAGGGCTCGAGACGTAACCGCTCTGCTTTTCAGTCCTTACTGCTGAACCGGAGTGATTTTTGTAAAGAAGAAAACACGATCTGAAACGACACATTTTTGCGGGCAGGTGAACTCCTCTGCGAGAAGTTTTCTCTCGCAGACAGAAGGGGATCTGCCCAGAGCTGACATCTGCCGTCAGGAGGTGCAGCTCCGGGGTTGTCGGCAGCTCCAGAGCCGCGGCTCTGCTGTCCCCACTCCTGCTCTGGGACATCGGTCAGGACCCGGCTCCTCAGGCACCGGAACGGCCTGGGGAAACCGCCCTTGAGGCGATATGTAGGGACAGCGATGCCCTCCGCCTGCTACAGAGATCCAGGTTTGAAGTTTGCTTTTCTTTTTTTTTGCTTTGGATTTTCTCTGAACCTCTTCAGCGGTGATCTCAAGGACCCGTTTCTCGGAGCCGCTCCCTGCGGTTCCTCCCGGTCCTCTCCCCGCCGAACCGACCGAGCAGTCCGGGGGAAGCGGCGGGGCGGGACAGCAGGAGCATCCCTGCCCCGCACCCCTGCGGCTGCCGTGCGCTCCGCTCCGACGGGGGGGCGCGGGGCCGCGGCCGCCCAGGAGAGGGAGCCCAGTGGCCGCGGCTGCGCCGGGAGCCGCGGGGGCGCGGGGCGGCGGGGAGGTGGCGCGGAGCCGAGCTGGGGGGGGAGCGGAGCGAAGGGGAGCGGAGCGGAGCGCTGCCCCGGCTGCCGATCGCCGTCACCCCGGGCCGACCCGAGCATCCCGCTCCGGTGAGTACCCTGCTTTGCCGGGTGCCGAGTACGCCCCGGGCTGTCGGTGCTCCCTGGGCTATCGGTGCTCGTCTGGGGTGCCTCGGCCTGCAGCCCGCCGTCTGCACCGCTGCGAGCATCGCCCAGCCATAAGTTGGGTGCCGGTACTTACTTTACTCGTCAATGAATGGGGCTCGGCTGGCTCGCAGCGCCGAAGCATCGCGCAGCGTCCCGCAGCTCGGCTGGGCAAAGTGATCCCGTGTGCGCTCAACGCCCGCAGCCCGGCTTTGCTCAGCTTTGCTTATTCCCCGAGAAAGCGGAAAAATCGGGGAGAAGCGGCCCAAGGAAAGCTGCTTCCGAGCGACGATGTGAAAGCAGGAGAAGGGGGGCTGCTCTGTGCCCTCTGCGTGCCTTCACCCTGTCTTCCTCTTGTCTTAATCCTTTAGGAAGGAGACGCCGGACGGACGGAGCTCTCTCAGGGGCGATGCTGCCGAGCCCTGCCCCCGGCAGGAGGAAGTCTGTGGCGCCGGGGCCGCCCTCCCGGGCGAACGGAGGAAAAGCCCCCGGCACCGGAGATGCGCGGCCCGGGAGAGAGTGAAGAGCTGCTCCGCCTGCATTGTTATTAAAGGGAAAAGCATGCTAGAGCCTGCTGCTCCGACGGCCGGAGCGCAGCCCCTCTGAGGAGGAGGTGAGATTATCCCGTGCTGTCATGGAGAGCTATAACCTGGCAGAGAAGCACTAAAGCCACTCGTCCCTGCTGGAAGAGGAAGCACTCTTGGCACCACCGCCTTCGTGCAGAGGAGAGCTCACTCAGGTCCTTCCTCCTCCTCTCTCCCTTTTTTCACCCTCCAGAGAACGACAGAAGAAAGAAAGAAACAACTGCGACTTGGCTCTTGCTGGTGCTGGGAATACTGTGCCTTTTGCCTGGGATGATTCCTTCTGATGGGATGTACAAAGCGCCACTGGGACAGAGCCAGCCAACAAAGTTTGCAAAGCAATCTATGGGGTCCATGGGATGGAGGTAGCTGGGCACACACTGATGAGGTCTGTCACACACTGCCCACCAACGCCGCTCCACTGCTGGCTGCAGGACTAACTCCTGGGGACTAAACTTTTGCAGCTCATCCTTTGCCGATTGACGCGTTCAGGGAACAACACATGCCTGCACCTGATGCAATGCTGGGTTTGTTTGTAAGTTTTGCTATGCAATTCCAAACCTAAATGAGGAGAAGAGGCGGCCCTGCATCCCAGAGCAAACAGAAACGAAGCTGAAAGGTAGGAGCCAGAATTTCTCGTTTCAATAAAACTAAATAATCTGAGCTACTTCTTACTGAAAACCTTTTAAACACACCTGCTGTATGCTTATTTCCTTTGTCTCTGGAAGTGTAAAACTTGAAACAAAGTGAAGAATTGCTCGCTGATGCTGCCCAGAAGCAGAGAACTGGTGGATTTTGTAAAGGAGTGTGCTGAGGAGGAAAGATGGGGTGTTTAATCAGTGAGACATTTAGGGAACCAAAGCAGAGGAAAAGCACCTCATACAGCACGCATCAGTAAATATGAAGGGCTAGTGCAATGGACGCTGGAAACACTCGATCAATAGTCTATTTAAGTGGGAATATGCAAGCATGAAAAAGTGATTGCTTTCCTGTCTGTGGGGTATATTCGCAGAGGACAGCAGCAGAACATTTGCAGGTGAGCTGTCTGAATTAAGCTGCTTCATGCTGGGGTGGTGCACAGTGTTCTTGAAGGGATTGCTTAAAAACCCCTCTGTGGAGGTGACTGTATTTGTGCATTTTCAGTTCCTGCTTGTAGAGCTTTCAATGTCGTTCAGGGAGATTCAGAGTGGATGAAGTCCATCTGGGCTTGAGGGGACCATAACCAAGAGCCTTTGGTCTGTTCGGACATCTCGTGTCTGCTATCTGTAAGGAAAGGAGCTGATGTCGTCATGAAAATCATGATGTGATTTTCCCTCAGGAGAAACTATGACTTGGAACGACACCACTATGGATGGGGAAGGGTTGCTTGTGGAAAGGGACTCTTCCTTTCGGATCCTCACGGGCTGCTTCCTCTCGTTGCTGATCCTCTCCACGCTGCTGGGAAACACGCTGGTCTGCGCAGCTGTCATTAGGTTTCGCCACCTCAGGTCCAAAGTGACCAACTTCTTTGTCATCTCCTTGGCCGTGTCAGACCTCTTGGTGGCGGTTTTGGTCATGCCTTGGAAAGCTGTGTCAGAGATCGCTGGTTTCTGGCCTTTTGGTTCATTTTGCAACATCTGGGTGGCCTTTGATATTATGTGCTCAACAGCCTCCATCTTAAATCTCTGTGTCATTAGCGTGGACAGATACTGGGCCATCTCCAGCCCATTCAGGTATGAGAGGAAAATGACCCCCAAGGCAGCCTTCATCATGATCAGTGTGGCGTGGACTTTGTCTGTGTTGATTTCCTTCATCCCTGTCCAGCTCAACTGGCACAAGGCTACAACCACGAGCTTTTTGGACCTGAATGCCAGTTTAGAAGGTATAAGCATGGACAACTGTGATTCTAGTCTAAACAGGATGTATGCCATCTCCTCTTCTCTAATTAGCTTCTATATACCTGTGGCCATCATGATAGTAACCTACACAAGGATATACCGGATTGCTCAGAAGCAAATACGACGAATTTCAGCTTTGGAGAGAGCAGCAGTGCATGCCAAGAACTGCCAGAACACAAGTGGCAACAGGAGCAGCATGGACTGTCAGCAACCTGAGAGCAATTTCAAAATGTCCTTCAAGAGGGAAACAAAGGTTCTAAAGACTTTGTCTGTGATCATGGGGGTGTTTGTGTGCTGCTGGTTGCCATTTTTCGTGTTGAACTGCATGATTCCCTTCTGCGAGCCCACCCAACCGTCCAAGGGAGCAGAAGCTTTCTGCATTAACTCCACCACTTTCGACGTTTTTATTTGGTTTGGATGGGCTAATTCTTCCCTAAACCCCATCATTTATGCCTTCAATGCTGATTTCCGCAAGGCATTTTCCACCCTGCTAGGATGCTACAGGCTCTGCCCCATGTCCGGCAATGCTATAGAGACTGTTAGCATTAACAACAACGGAGCAGTTGTTTTTTCAAGCCAACATGAGCCCAAAGGCTCCAGCCCCAAAGAGTCGAATCTGGTTTATCTGATCCCACATGCAATCATCTGTCCAGAAGAAGAACCTCTAAAAAAGGAAGAAGAAGGTGAACTATCTAAGACCTTGGACAAAATGTCTCCAGCACTGTCGGGTATTTTGGATTATGAAGCTGACGTTTCTTTGGAAAAGATCAATCCCATTACACAAAATGGGCAGCATAAAACCTGAACAGTAAGGTGTACCCAGCAAAACATGATAGTGTACAATGTGATAATCTTTAACAACAACAAAAAAAGATACGGTTTTTTGTATGAAACTAAGCTCTAGGGAGAAGTACACATCTACATAAAGCCCTGAATGAATTTTCCTGGCATTAAATTTAATATTTAAAACACTAAACAGCAACAAGGTACTGAAAATTGGTTAGAAAGATGGATGTTAAACCGTGCTGTTTGTACTGAGGAATATACACAGGTTTGGATACAGTGCAGTGATAAAATAATACTGCTTCTCCTCTGCACCTAGAGAGGCCAATTTCTTGCTTGAAGTGAGGCAGAAGATAAATGTTAAGTATTTAAAGATTCATGTTTACTAGAATATAAAGGATTGCTGTGTCTTGTGATAGTGGGTGTTAACAGGTCCTAATTAAAGGCTGAGGGATTGTAAAGGGAGGTAGAGGCCTTCTTAAAATTATTTCTGAAAAAATAATTGAGCCTTATAGTGAGAATGGTTATTTTTAAAGCTTTGGGAGTTAACATGTTGATACTGGTTTTATTTATTTATTGTTTTAAATTGATATTTTTCATATGTTATTACAGATCTAGCTTTATTTATGTTATTTAAGATGTCTAAATGATGGGATATTTTTGGAGTGTCATTACTGCATTGTGGCCAGACAACCAGTCAGCACTTTGTGAAAGCCCCGATGGCCTCGAGAGCTGTGAGGGATGGAAGAAGGCTGAGAAGCTTAGCGAGAGACCAAGGAATCAACAGAACTGATGTGGAATGGAGCTCGTTTCCTTACAGGCTTTGGTTTTCAAGTGGGATTTCTTTCAAAAGATAGGATCAGCGTTGACTGAGTTGTGAATTCTCTTCCCTTTTACAAACAACAAGAAATTGCTGCTATTTATTTTTAAAAAATTTTCATGTTACAGAGACTTTGCTAGAATGTCAAGTTTGTGGATCTGTACAGACCTTAAGTACGGCTACAACCTTAAGGAGAATCCAATTTGAGAAGAAAAGCTACTTAGGTAACAATTCATAGTACATAACGTTTTGTATTAATGTAAGATAAACAGCTTTCTCAGACTTTTCTTATTCCAAGTCTTGGATATCTTTTCCAAACAAACACAATTGGTTTCATGGTAGTAAACATGCCAAACCTCGTTGTCATCTGTATTATTTCTGGCAGCACCACTGGGATCATGCTGTCTGTCTGCTCTCAGTCTGAGTTCAAGAGGGTATGCAGTGCTTTACTTTGGAGGCCAGGAGGATGTTGCATTTTAGTAATTCCCACATCAGTAGTCCCTTCAAATAAGGAATAGTGCCTCATTACTGATTTGAATTAAGACTTTTCTAACTATGGACCGAACTGCAGCCCCCACCTCAAAAACGCCCCGTGAGCTCAAAAACAAAGATGCCTGTGTTTAATTCAAAAACTGCCGTGGCCCTTCCCTGCTGCTTTCCCTCTGTAATGCCCCAAGTGAGCAGTGAACGTTAGCAACAGGAACACTGGGAGTCAACATTCAGCAGCACTCCAGGACAGAGCTCTGCTTTCAGAATGGCACAGATACCCTTTGGAGAAACTTTTCATAATATATATATTAAAAAAAAAACAAAACACAAAACAAAACAAAAATGTTGTCAGGAAAAGAGAACTGAGAGGAAAAAATCTCAAAGTCTAATGAACTATATACATCCTGCATCAGGTCTGTGTATTTATGTATCGTGAATGTTTTCATAACTTGATTGCCTGTAAGCTGCTTTCATACATATAATAAAATTATTTTGTGAAGAGAGGGTCAAATAAAGAAATCTACATGGCATTTGTTAAATACATGCAGTTGTATCGATCATGTTAAAGGCGGGGATGGCTTCTGCTTTTCTGTTTGCCCTCATTTGGGATCACACCAGGGAGGCAGATGGGAATTCTTATTAGAAGCAGGAGAAAGTCCTCAGTGCTGTGGGAGCTGCCAGTCCTTCTCTCAGCTGGGGTCTGAAACAACGACGTCCTTCTTGAATGTGACCAGGTGAAATGTGCAATGGTAGATTTATTGGTGACTCTTACTTTGGTCAATTTGCCTTGGTTTAATAGACTGGGGGACTCTGTTTATAACTCTTATTGTTGCTTTTTGAATTATTTTTTCTTTTTGAGCCACTTGATAGAATCCCACCACCGGTGTTCTGGATCAAAAATGAGTCGTTTCAGGAGTGATGTGCTGGAAGGGCTCAGCCAAAGGACAGAAGCATCAATTTGTTAACAGCAGCCTGGCACTTTGCTTTCAGCTTTGTCAGCAGGTTCATTTTGAAATGAAGAAAAAAAAAACCAAACCTACATGAAAAAAACTGTGGTTGCTTCTGCACTACCAACATGATGCAGCTGGGATTGGAGTGGGTGCAGGGGCTGCAGTCATGCCCCTCCCTGGTGCAGAAACATGATTTAAGAAGAGCATGTAAAGCAAGATGCTGGCTTCATTCCAGCTGGTTCAGGGCTGATATATGTTCTGTGATTTAAGCAGGGGCCATCCCAGCACCTTCCTGCCTGTGAAGGAAGCGGAGGGACAGATCTGTGGGGAACATTCTTGTTCCCCTCAGTACTATGGGCCAGGTAGGATGGACTCTTCTGCATTATTGCTTTCTGTCCCTCTATCTGAACAATATTTGCTTCCAACTCCTTTCTCCTGCATACATTTTACACTACCAATAATACGTTTGGATCTTCATTTATCATCGTACCCCTCTTTTCCTGCTCCTTTTCAGGTCCCTTTACCTGTCACCTCCTTTCCTCGCACTCCTGCCAGAGCCCTCCTGCCACCCTCCTTTGGCTCTGTAATGCTTTGCTAGGAGAAAGTCCATCCCCACACGCTCCCCCAGGACTCCCCTTGCTGCACCCAGCAGTGCCTCCTACCTGCTGCAGAGTCGGCGATCAGGGCCAGGACCAGCAAGAAGGACCAACCTGCTGCCACCCTTTTATGTGTGCCCTAACCCTTGTTAACTGCCCCACAGCTGTAACCTGCTGCTTGGAACCGGTGTAACCTTCCCTTCTGCACCATTTCCTCGTGACTGAAGGTATTTTTCTGTCTGTAGATAGAAGAGGTTAATGGTTAACCCCATGGCCTTGGTGAAGGAGCTGTTAGTATGAGTGAGCCAGAATCACTAGATTAAATCTGAATACATTTCTCCCATCCCTTGGTAAGTGTGTTATGGTAATTTGGGTCTCTGACTTCACAAACTGTACAAAAGATAGGAGATGGGAGAGTAAATGCCTTTGCTGATGAACAGCTTTAATAACATAGTTACTGGGAGACGGTCCTGGATTATTTCAAATGAATGATTTTCAGAAGCACCCAAATCTGATTGCAATCCCAAACAACCGCTTCAAATCTCGCCAGGCAGCTCTTTCCAGTAATGCTTTGGTTTTTAGCATAATGACAGTACAACATGTTCTCGGTGATGTCACTTATGTGGCCACACAGCAACTGTAACTTGAAGAATAAGAACAGTGCCGTTCCATAGCTGTTCTGTTCCAAACATGATCCCGTAACTCTCAAAAGATGAAAGCACATCATGTGGGGTGTCCCAGGTTTCCACCAGATTTCTTGTATCTGTCAAGTCAGCAATTTCCCTTTAAACCCGCTGGATTAAAAGAGATCTCACCCCACACAAATGAAACCGCTTTTGGGCTTTGAAACTGCTGCTCAGTGAAAGGTATTCTAAATTAATGTATTGCGTCAGGCTGAATGGGCCCTGGGCAGCCTGATCTGGTGGGGTGCAACCAGCCCTGGGCTTTGATTGGGGTTAGGGGGCTGTGAGGTTCTTTCCAACACAAAGCCTTCTGTGATTCTATGATTTTGCTCATGTAAAAAAGTTCTCCACAATAAGAGGATGAATTCTGCTGAGAAAAATGTCACGCAAAAACTTTCATCCCTATTTCTTGATTGAGGGGATGTAATGTAGCAAAAGGCAGCCTGAGAAGCACATATCAGTGGTAAAAGCACCTCCCTGCAAACAGCGGGATGCAGACGCAGATGTGCTCCCAAAAACCTTGAAACTTCAGCAATTTAAACCTGGGTTTTTCACTGACCTTTCAGAAGAGCAGCTTTCTGTATCCAGGCTGCAGTTCTTTCCTTCCTGCCTGCTGGAGCCTCCTGCTGCTTTTCAGCAAATTCCTTCTTCCTCCTTCCACAGCACTCTATACAAGTTGTCTATTCTGCCTCACTTTCCCTTCCAGATTGGGATAAACTGTAGGATGTGATTTGATCTGAAATAAGAAACACTTTTCACCCCCCTAGCAGCTCCATTCCTTGTCTCCACCCCACCTGTCCCGGTGCAGTCATGCTTCAGCAAATAGAACATAAACAGTAGTTATCGAGCTTGCCATCTGGGGAGAGAAATGCCATTGGGGCCGGATTCCCACCCTCCTGCAGGGTGTAGCCCAGGACAGGAGTGGTGTAGGGGTGGGTAAGAGGCCCTGCAGAGCCCCATTGCTGCTGCTTTGCAGCGGGACAACAAGGGGAATGCTCCGCATGCCACAGGCAGCAATCAATGGAGCGTTGAATATTTCAGTCACTTTCTTTTGCAAAATGACTGGTGATTCCTTCCCACCCCCATTGGCTGGCTGTGCTCAGAATTAAACACAGGAAGAGATCACCAGGGAAACCCTGGGGGCTGGCAGCAGCCAAGGGCTGGCTTGGGATGGCTGAGGAGAAGTTTCTCTCTTCCCCCAGCTGGTAGGGTTTCTGTCATTCTGGAGAAGCTATTTCTGGGCTCTGAGGTGAGGGTTTCCTTTCTTTGGGCCTCATTTCTTGCAAAGGGCTCCCTTAGTTTGAGTCTATCGTGCTTTCCCTCCTCAGGTGGCAGTAACCAGGCTGGATGAGGCTCTCAGCACTTGATCGAACTGTAGGTGTCCCTGTTCATTGCAGGTGAGTTGCATCAGATAACCATTAAAGGTCCTTTCAGCTCAACCTGTTCTATGATTCTATAAATTTGGCATCCTCTTGCTATGCTGCTTCTTCAAATAGATTGATCCATAACTCCAGTACACTAAGCAGACTGATT